TTTCTTTCCTCCTTTTTCTTTTTTTTTTTTTAATGTTTTATTTCTGAGAGAGAGAGAGACAGCGTGAACAGGGGAGGGTCAGAGAGAGGGAGACACAGAATCTGAAACAGACTCCAGGTTCTGAGCTGTCAGCACAGAGCCTGACGCGGGGCTCGAACCCACGAACCGTGAGATCATGACCTGAGCCAAAGTCGGACGCTTAACCGACTGAGCCACCCAGGCGCCCCGCTTTCCTCCTTTTTCTTCCCAACACACCCAGCTTGATCTCACCTCTGACACTTCGTATCTTCCATTCCTTCCACCTGAAACACTTTTCCCTGGATTTCATCTCTCTAGTGTCAGCCGCAATGGCATCTCAAAGGCCAGGAACCTGATGCAAACGCGCACCTTCCGGGGGACCTGATGGGCCCCTCAGACTTCTCTTGGCCGGAAGCAAACTTCTCCTCCAGCCCGGCTCCTCCCCCAGCGTCCTCCATATTGGCCGAAAGCCACCGCGATTCACATGGTCCCTGAGGCTAAAGCCTTGCAAACCCGCCTCTCTCGATCCAGTCCTTATTCGGCCGTTCTGGGGGCCACCTTCGAAATCTATGCAGCTTCTGACCCCTTTTCCCCAGCGTACACTCCTGGTCCTGCTCTCCTGGACCCCCGGACCACCCCCCCCCCCCCCCCCCCAGTACGAGGCGTGGAGGCCCCCGGATCACCCCCCCCCCCCCGCCCACTCTGTCCTTTTTTTTTTTAAATGTTTATTTATTTCTAGGAGACACAGAGAGAGACAGCGTGAGCAGGGGAGGGTCAGAGAGAGAGGGAGATACAGACTCTGAAATAGGCTCCAGGCTCCGAGCTGGCAGTCAGCACACAGCCCGACGCGGGGCCCGAACCCACAAACCACGAGATCATGACCTAAGCGAAAGTCGGACGCTTAACCGACTAAGCCACCCAGGCGCCCCAACGCCCACTCTGTCCTTAACCACAGCAGTCAGGGCCCTCTCTGTAACACTTAAATCGAACCACGTTCCCTCTCTGTTCCCCTGCTTTCTCATCACACTTAGATTAAAAAGCAAACCTCTCCGCTCTCCGCACCCCCACCTGCCCACCTCCGCCACGCCCCACCTTGCAGCCTGCAAAGCCTTGTATAAGCCACCCCGTCACTGATCCACTTCCAGCCTGTCTCCCCCTCGCCCACTCTGTTCCAGCCACAAGGGCCTCTCCACTCTCCTTTTCACACACCAGATGTGGTCGTGCCCCAGGACCTTTGCATGGGCTGCGCCCTCTGCCTGGAGCGCTCTTCCTCTGTATTTTCCTTTCTTCCCACGACTGGCTACTTCTTACAATTCCAAGTATCACCTCCTCCGAGAGACCTCCACAACCAGATTCTCACTCACCTCATGCTTATCCTCCATCACAATTCTCACTGTATGACTTCCTGTGAGTCTCTCTCCACCCCCGAGACCATAAGCTCCTCATGGCAGGAATTTCTGTCCGACTCCATCACCTCTGCACCTGTGTCCGTGGCGCCCAGCACAGGACATGGCGCACACACGACGCAGTATTTGTGCGTCTCGATGAGAAGTGACCTTGCAAAGATCACATAGCTTCACCCGTGTGGGCTCCCTAGGGGAGTAAGTCCCGTAAACACACACACACGCATGCACGTATACACACACACACACACACACACACAGAAGGGCCTCACTCACATCTTGTGCTCCCTGGTCCTGCAAAGAGCCACAGGCCTCAGGGTGCAGCAAGGGCCCAAGTTGCTCCAGGTGAGGTTAAGACGGCCAGGTGACCTTGACCTGCCAGGTGGCGCTGTCCCAAGGCTGGGAGCAGCTCCGTGTCTTCTTGTGTGAGCCACCTGTCACCAAAGACAGCTCCAGTCTGGGCATCTGTGGGCCCTTGGGAATCACAGAATCTTAAGACTCTAAGATCTCAAACTCCCAGAAATATAAACTCTAATCCTTGCAATCAGATTCTTAGAAACAGAGATCTTGCAAACTCAAGCACATCAGATTCTAGAATCACAGAGCCAAAGATATGCTGGAATGGATCATTCTAGACCAGGACTCAGAAAACTTTCTGTAAAGGGCCATGGAGTAATTATTTCCTGCTTCGTGGAGCAGACATTCTCCATTGTAACCACTCCACGCCGCCGTGGTAGCGGGAAAGCCGCCATAGACTGCGCATGCCTCAATGTGTGGGCCTGGGTTCCAATAAAACTATTTTTTAAAAAAAGCATTGATCAGGGCGCCTGGGTAGCTTAGTCGGTTAAGCGACCGACTTTCGCTTAGGTCATGATCTCGCGGTTCGTGGGTTCGAGCCCCGCGTCGGGCTCTGTGCTGACTGCCAGCTCAGAGCCTGGAGCCTGTTTCAGTCTGTGACTCCCTCTCTCTCTGACCCTCCCCTGCTCACGCTGTCTCTCTCTCTCTCCTAGAAATAAATAAAACATTAAAAAAAATTTAAAAAAAAAAAGAATAAATAAACATTAAAATTTTAAAGAAAAATACAAGAGAGGCACCTGGGTGGCTCAATCGGTTAAGCGCCCCACTTCCGCTCAGGTCAGGATCTCACGATGGTTCATGGGTTTGAGCCCCGCGTGGGGCTCTGTGCTGACAGCTCAGAGCCTGGAGCCGGTTTCAGATTCTGTGTCTCCCTCTCTCTCTGACCCTCCTCTGCTCACACTGTCTCTCTCTCTCTCTCTCTCTTTCTCAGAAAAAAAAAGAAAATAAAATAATTAAAAAAAAAAAAAAAGAACACACATCAGGGTCCTAATCACCTTCCGAGGCCCCACCCGCTTCTATCATCACCTTTGGGGGTTGGAACTCTACACAGGAATTTCAGGGGGGCACCTTCAGACCCCAGCACTACATCTTCAAGGCCTGCACCACCTCCCGGCTGAGAAGCAATATTTCTGCCTCCCAGATACCATTCCCCATGCCCCCCACACACATTATCCTAACTTCTAGCCACGTAGATGTATTTTGCCTGGTTTTGTATGCTATTTAAGTGGAATCATAGAGTCCCTTCTCTCTTTCTGACTTCTTTCATTCAACAATGTATCTCTCCCTCAACCAGAAGGCACATCCAAGTTGGTCATGTAGCTGTGGGCCAATTTTTTTTAATGTTTTATTTTATTTTTGAGAGAAAGATGGAGTGTGAGGGGGGGAGGGGCAGAGAGAGGGGGAGACACAGAATCCGAAGCAGCTTCCAGGCTCTGAGCTGTCAGCACAGAGGCCAACGCGGGGCTCGAACCCATGAACTGAACCGTGAGATCATAACCTGAGCCGAAGTCGGACACCTAACCTACTGAGCCACCTCGGTGACCCAACAAAATAAGATTTTAAAAGCTCTTTGCCGGGGGCGCCTGGGTGGCTAAGTCAGGTGAGCCTCTGACTCTTGATTTCGTCTCAGGTCATGATCTGGGGGTTTGTGAGATGGAGCCCCGCATCAGGCTCTGCACAGACAGCGCGGAACAGGCTTGGGATTCTCTCTCTCTCTCTCTCTCTGCCCCTCCCCTGCTCATGCTCTCTCTCTCTCTCAAAATAAATAAGTAGGGATGGCTGGGTCGCTCAGCTGGTTGAGTGTCTGACTTCGGCTCAGTTCACAATCTTGAGGTTCGTGAGTTCAAGCCCCGCATCAGGCTGGCTGCTGTCAGCACAGAGCCCGCTTCAGACCTTCTGTAGCCTTCCCCCTGCCCCTCCCCCGCTTGCACTCTCTCAAAAATAAACATAAAACGTTAAAAATTATCAAAATAAAGAAAGCTCTTTAGGAGGGTGATCGTGAAAACGGGTTGAGAAGCATTGACATAAAGGAATAGATGATTCTGGAAGCTTAGCCCTGCGGGAGCTTAACTCCTTTAAATAGGCTTTTAGGGATTTTCCTGTCTCAGAGTGGGTAAGAGCAGATAATTCTAGAATCCAAGTGGAAAACCGTGGACCCTCAAGGCTGGAAGGAATCTCGCCTATCCGTTAAGCCAGCTGCCTCTGTGTACAGATGAGAAAACTGAGGCCCAGAGAAGGCTGACACGTGTCAGGCCACACACAGCAGCCAAAGATGCGGCCAGGTTTCTGGAGAGCCCAGCTCAGACACCCTCCCCACTGTGCTTGATTCCTCGAGTGGGGCCCGGTGCTGCAAAGGGCCAGATGGCCGGAAGGAGCACCTGCTCAGTTCCGGTCCAAAGCGATGCCCAGTCCCCTCCCATTGTAAGGAGGGCACTGCATTATGACTGTCCTGTCCGTCCCCGCCTTCTAGTAGGGTGATGGCCCATTACCCATTAGCAGGATCCACCAGGCTTTGCACTGCTGGCGTCTGCAGGGGAGCAGACAGGCGAGCGTCCAGCTCCCCGCAGCTCGCCCCCCCACTGCAGAACACCCGCTCCAGCATTAGAACAGCAAGATGAAGGGTCAGGGCCCCTGGGCCTCACCTTAGGCGCAGCAGGGGCCACACAGCCCTAGAAACATGTCCCCACACTGCCATTCACTTGCTGTGTGACCTGGGGCAGGTAACTTGACCCCTCTGTGCCCCACTCCTCAGCTTTGGGTTAGGTGTGTTTGAAGTAATTATATCTAAAGGGTTTATTACAGGGTCTGGAACATGATAAATCCTTAGTAAACGTAAGTGATTATTTAGATCTGTTCTGTTGATTATTCAGCCAGACTCAACGGCTCAGGCCTTATGCATAAGCTTTTTCCTTCTTTTCTTTCCTTTCTTTTTCTGTTTTCCTCCCCCCCCCGAAACAGAGAAAGAAAGGGGAGCTGAGGTGAGCAACACCTTTGCTCAAAGCAGGGCTGAGACCCCGCTCCCTTGTCTGTAAATGGGCTTGACACCAGGATTGAGCTCGAAAGCCAGGAGTCAGGGGGGGCGCTGGACCCCATAACCTGCGGAGCGGAACTCACGGTGGGGGGTGGGGACGGCGGCGCCCACGACCGGGCTGATGGGAGCTCGTGATGAAAAAGAATCCATTTGGCGATTGTTTTGCAATAACCGAGCAAGACAGACGTGGGCAGCCTCACTGTTCCGAAGAGGAAACCGGCTCAGAGAGGCACCTGCCCGGACTCACACAGCGCGGCAGGGGAGGGCTCGTGAGGTCCCGCTTGGGTAGGAGGCTCTGACCCTGAAGCGTGGAGGCTGGACCGAAGGTGAGTGCCCGCGACACACGGGTTTCACCTCCGCAGACCGCCCGCTGCCCCGCGCGAAGCGCACCTCCCGCCACGCAGGTGCGCGCCCGCCGCGAGTCCCGCCGCAGCCCTGCCGCCATCGTCCCGCCCCGCACCCCCCCCCCCACTCCCGACTCCGGCTCACGCCGCTGGTGGCGGGGGCGTGGCCGTGACCGCCGTGGCGCTGAGAGCTTGTGTCTGGAGGGGCCGTCGCCGCGGCGCGAGGACTCAGGGAGCCGCGCAGGTAGCTGGGAGGACGGCGGGCGGTTGCCGCCGGCGACCCTGCCCCCGCGTGGCGGAGGCGGGAACTGCAGCTACTTGGCGGGGACGCAGCGCACACCGCGTCTCATCTGCCCCTTCTGGAAGGAGCTCGGGTGGGGCTGCGGGGTTGGGGGAGAGAAGGGGAATAAAGGGAGGAGCCTGGCCCCAACACTCATGTTCTGCAGAAGCCGAGGTAGGCTGGAGAGAGCCAGGCTGTCTCATGTGAATTTTCTCCCCTTGGTCTGTGACATCCCTCCGGCCCCCCCACCCCACACCTGTGCCGGGGTCCTCTCTACAGTAACGTCCTCTCCCAGCCCCCGGGGCCCCCAAAGAAGACTGATGCGTGGCCAGTGGAGGGGAAAGTGCTGGATATCCCCACGGAGGACCAGACGGGTCAAGGCTTCTATTCGATCTCTTTCCCCTAGACCCCCAGCCGCCCAGCCATGTCTAGCCCAGAAGCCCTGCCCGCCCCAGCCCCAGGTCGGGTCCCCCCATCTCTACCGTCAGCCTCTCCCCTGACCAGGTCCCTCTGGGAGCAAAAGCCAAGAGGGATCCTTGAAGTGGAAAGAGGGATGGGAACCCAGAAAAGACACACACGCCCCGCCCCGCCCAGTGGCCACGTGAAAATATGACTGATTTCCAGAGGAGTCGGGGAGCCCTGTCACCCAGCCCAAGACCTGTGGCCTCCCCACCATGAGGCTGGATTCCTCCCTTGCCCCCAGGGCACTCAATAAAGGCTCATAAAGAAACGAACGCTAGATTTTGTGGTGATTGGGGGAGCATTAAGGATTTCTGAGGGGTCTGGGGGCCCCTGAGCCCCAGGACGCATGGAGGGGTCCCCTGGGGTGATGGGATTCCGCGATGTGTGGCCAGCTCCCTCTTCTGATCCTTGGACCATCATGTCCAATTAGCAGAGAAGTGATGTCCCCAACTTTACAGGGCTCCTAGCGCTGGACGCACCGCCCTCCGTGGGTAGCTTGGAGGTGGAGGGTGAGGCGGGACATCGGGGGTCCCTGGAATTTATCAGCCTCCAGGGTCTCTGGCCTGACCGGCACCTTTAAGTGACACCAGCTGGGACCGGCTCCCCTCCCCCACTTCTGCTGTTTCCATGGGGACAGATGTCCATTTGCAGCAGCAGCATCCGGGCCTTGGTTGCCAGCCCCGGAGGGAAGGAGGGGCCGGGTGGGGGCAGGGCTGGCCCCAGAGCCTCCCCCTCGGTTTCTCCATCTTTGTATCTGCCCGGATCAGCTCCCTCCGGGTTTCATCTGACTTCATCCTCTCTCTCCCTGTTTACCTCAAGCTCTCTTAGTTGTGGTCCGTCCCTCCGAGCAATTCAGGCTTCACTCCCAGCCAGGGACACCCTTCTCCCTCCAAGGGTGGCTCAACCCCCTTCTTTCCCTGGGGCCGGGATCCCCGCCTCCCAGAAAGGACACTTGAAACACACAGTAACTTATTTATTTTCCAGGCCGGAGGCGTGCTTGGAGACACGATTCGGCGCCCTAGAGCCCAGGAGAGTGTCAAGAAGGCAGCCCTGATGAAGGCCCAGGGCTTGGAGGGGGAGCGAGTCCCTCCCGCTGGCTTCCTCCAGGACGGGAAAGACCTCCCGCGTTTGCAGCCGGGGACTCCGGGCCCTCCTGGTGCCGAGCGGGGGCTGCGGCTCGTGGGCTCAGGGGGTCTGAGCGACCACCGGGTACAGCAGGGCCAGATGCTCAGCGCCCTGCACGGGCAGCGGCCGGGAGCCGTAATGGAGGACCAGCTCCGGGACGCTGGCGAAGGGGCCGCTGTGCTGGCCCAGCACGAACTGGTTCTCTCGGGTCCGCGCGAACTTCAGATGCAGGAAGCCCTGGCCGCTCCTGGGGGACAGGCATCGCAGAGCGCCTTGATCACCCCAGACCTGCTCATGCTCTCTGACCCTAAAGGCAGCCTGGAACACAGGCTGTGCTTTTTCTCCAAACCTTCTGAGCCCTTGCCCTACCCTTCCGGGGCTCTCCCTTTCCTTTCTAAACTCTGCTGAGTGGAAGGACATTGAACCTCAGAATCATCTTATTGTTAATATGAATGAAGCGTTTCCTGTTTCCTGGCTAATTCTAATTCTCTGTGTGTGTGTGTGTGTGTGTGTGTGTGTGTGTGTGTGTGTGTTATTCAATCATGGCAGTATTACCCTGACAGGTGCTATTATTATCCTGTGGCATAGAGGAAAAAAGCAAGGCCCAGAGAGGTTGAGCAATGTAGCCAAGGTCACACAGCTATTAAACCTATTCACCAAGCTCTCTTCGATCTTGTTCTTTTAGGAATCTTACACTCGAATGCCCAGTAGACTCTGGTGGCTTGTTTTAACCAGACACATTTAGAATCTTAGAGATGCACATAGAGTCAGGATCTCCAATGAAAGGCCTCCATGGTCACTGGGAGATTCTGAATCCAATGGGCCCATATGGATATAATTCAACTTTGGGACTGGAGGAGTTGAAAGGAAACGTCTAGGGACCCCCGGGGGGCCCAGGCAGTTGAGCCTCCAACTCTTGATTTCAGCTCATCACAGTTCACGAGTTCGAGCCCCTCACTGGAGCCTGTTTGGGATTCTCTCATCTTTCTTTTCCCCTCCACCCTTGCTCGCTCTCTCTCTCTCTCTCTCTCTCTCAAATGAATAAACTTTAAAAAATAAAGGAAACATCTCCTTCCCCATCTCACCCACGTCCTAGATCTACTGTCTGGCCTCGCTGGAGACCACACCCTCTGGCCCTACAAGGCCCGCCCACTGCCCCCATAAATCCCCTCCTCTGTCCTGAATCCCGCCTTCGCCCCCCACCCCACGCAGCCCTGAAAGCCCCACCCACTAACTGCCGGAGCCACCCTCTATTCCCACTAAATTAACCGGCCAGCCAGAGGCGGGCGGTTCTGTGACCCTCGGTCCCTCCAGGGGGCTGGGGTCTGACCTGAGGGACAGGGAGCAGTCTTGGGGACTGGTCTCGCTGAGCCGCACGAGGTAGCTGCCTTCTTTGCAGAGCGACAGGAGGCTCTCGGCATCGGCCCGGCTCAGCGGGCCGTGGAACCACCTAGGGGGTGGGGACAGATGTCTCCTAAAGGGTCATCCCCCTTCAGACACACCCTGGGGTCTACTGCAGGCACAGCCGGTTCGAGGACTTGTGACCTCCAGGCAAACAAGCGACAAAAATCCCTCCCGGGTCTCCCGGGGGGGTGGGGGGGCTGGTTTCCAGGCAGCTGAGCCCAGGTCCACGTGGTGCTGTTCCCCCCCAACCCCCCGACCTCGATCTTTACAGCCTCCCTAGGCGAGGTCCCCAGTGTCCTGCTTCCCCTTCCCTAATCCCTCAAACTGAGTCACTTGCGCATGGCTTTCCCGCAACCTTTATCCCCACCCACCTGTGTCACCCTTTCCTTAATATTTCCCTTCAGTGTGCTCAGGGGGAGGTTAGCAGTTGCGAGCGGGGTCTCAGAGGCAGGCGAGCGCCCACCAGACTTGGCGGTTGTTTGTAGAGAAAGTCCCTTCTCCCCCTGCGCCCCCATCTTCACCAGTCAGTTGTGTCGTGGTTTGGGAACAATTCTGATAAACACAGGCTGGTGCCCTTGGGGCTGGACTCGGTGGGCTGTTGGGGCCGCTGGAGGGAGGAAGTGCCAGGCTGGAGAGGCACAGAGAAGACCCAGACTCTCTCAGCTTGCTCACCTCACCCTAGCCCAAAGGTGGGACCCCCTCAAAACCCTGCTCCTTTCTCCTAGTTCCACTCCAAGATCCCTCCAGGGGTGGGGATGACTTCCGTCTCTTTACTCTCAGGCTCAAGGGAGTCATCCAAGTGAAAGGAAGACACCCCCTTTTACTCTGTTGGAGCTAGGCACCATCTTGGGGGCCTGGGGTCCGAGGCTCAGAGAGGTTAAGCTGCACAGCAGGAGACGCAGGGCAGAGATGTGAACCCAAAATCTAATGCCAGAGGGAACGACCTAGCTAGGTGTCTGACACACAGGACGCTCTGGCCCCCCAGGGAAGATTAGCTGAGGAAAGAAATGAAGCAATGGATGGTAGGAATCAGCAGCTGGTATGGGATGGGGAGGGTCCTCCAACTTGAGCTTTCCCACTCACGGCTGTTTCTCCAGGGGCAGGGCCGGGTCCACGCGCTCTGCGGGCTGGGGGCTTCTGGCTGGGGGTTTCCGGAGCTCTTTGGCTGAGCCTGGGGTCCTTTCCCACTCTGGGCTGTCAAACTGCACTGGAGGGGGAGGAGGAGGTTAGAGAGGAAAGGGTTAAGTCCAACCCACCCAGGAGGGGCGGGGCCGGGGCAAGCCAATGCACTCTCAGTAGGGAGGCGGTACCAGCTTGGGCAACCTATCAGAATCCCCAGTAGGCGCGGCCGGGTTGAAGGGCTGGGGCAGGATTGGCACAGGAGCAACCAATCAGTCTTCAGAAGAAAGGGGTGTGGTCACTCAGGTGTGGTGGCCTGCAGGGGCGGGGCAGCTCCACGAGGGACCAATCCGAGAGCAAGGGGCGGGGCTAGAGGGGGTGGGTTGGTCGTTCAGCAGATTCTGGCCAAGTCCTGGAGCCTAGAACCCCTCCCCCACCCAGATAAGGACAGAGTGAGGCGCTGAGCCTCAGTGTCCCTCCAGGTCACAGAGCTTCTGGGGCCAAGCTGGGTTCGCACACCTCTCTCTGGCCCACGTTATTTTATTCCTTAAAGCTGATTGCACTGTTACGCTCTTTACAGAAGGGGAAACTGAGGTCAGAGACTTGGCCATGCTTCCCCAACTCAGGACTTGACCCCAAGCCCACCTAATGACAGTTACTAAGAAATGCTACCTTCTCCCCCAGCAGCACTTCCTAGCACTCACTTTACACGCACCCTGTTCTGTAGGTGCTAGAATAACCCCCATTTGAGGGGTAAGGCAACTGAGACTGAAAGATAAAGTCCCTTGTCCCAAGTGAGTGACAAACCCAGCCCAAGCCTGACACCAAAGCCTATCCCTGCACAACACTGAGGATAAAGAGTCGATTCCATTGCCCTCTAACGGTGTTTCTGCTCTCAAAGAAGATACAAGTTCTGCTAGGAAGAGAAATTTATGGTTATCAGTCCTTCACACTTTAGTGAGAAGGAGTAGTAAACTATCACAGTGGCAGATGGTTGGGGTCTATTTTGTAAGTTGAAACTGGGAAAAAGACCAGAGCAGGAAATGGAAGGATGAGGACATTCAGGGCCTGTGGAGGGTCAAGGCCTGGGTCGGAGGGGCACCTGCAAACGCCTTGGAGATGTGGTCTTTCTTCCACTCCCAGGGCTGGTCGTACTCATCCGCTGGCCGCTCATCCTCCTGAGGCAGCCGGCTCTGGCGCGGTCTCCTTCCAGAAGGGGGCCCATTGCCTGGCTCTTGGTCTTGCTCCTCATAGGGGGTGTCATACAGCTGCACCCCCTTGCACGGCAGTTCTGGGAGGCCAAGAACACTGGTCAGTGCCCGCACCCACTGGGGACCCTGCCACCTGCCCCCAAACTCGCCCCCCCCCACTCACCGCTCACAGCCCTCTGGGCATCGTAGGGCTCCATGTACCCGTCATCTGAAGGTGGTGGGTGAGGCTGGGCATCAAAGGGGTCTGAGTACTCGGTGTCGAGTTCTGACTGGAGAGAGAAGTAAGAAAGTGGCCCGGGGTAGTGGGGGGGACTAAGCCCAGCGGTGGACACCCCCTCCGGGGTGATGGCCCCTCTCTCTGGATCATCTAACACTTCCGCTCCATGTAGCTCATTTTCTCAGGGTTGGGAGTCCTCTCTACCTACCCTCTGGGATTTGTGCACAGACGCCACTTCCCCTTCTCTCTGCCTCCCTGCAGGCTACCAGCACTGTTCCAAATACTTCACATGTGTTTACTTGGAATACCAATACCCAGTAAGTACATCATCCCCATTTTACAGATAAGGAAAGCAAGGCACAGAGAGGGCAAGTGACTTGCTAAGGGTCACACAGCAGGTGAGGAGGAAGCAGGGTTTCATCCCAGGCTGTCTTCTTCCCCAAGTCCCCGCCTCCTCCTTCCTTTCTCTGGGCTCTTAAACTACTGGGCTCTTCACATAATCTCTTGTAACCCTCCTCAAATCCTTCCGTCTCCATGGAGGGTTTGGGGTCGACTCCCTCATCCTCTAGGAAAAATATTGAAAAAAAAGGGGCTCAGTTGGTTAAGCGTCTGAGTTTGGCTCAGGTCATGATCTCATGGTTAGTGGGTTCGAGCCCCACATCGGGCTCTGTGCAGACAGCTCAGAGCCTGTAGCCTGTTTCAGATTCTGTGTCTCCCTCTCTCTCTGACCCTCCCCTGCTCTCGCTCTCTCTCTCTCTCCCTCTCTCTCAGAAATAAAACACTAAAAGAAAAAAGCATGGGCATTGGAGGCAAATCTGGGTCAAGTTCTACTGAGCTGACGCTGTAACCTTGTGTCAGCTGTTTCCCTTCTGTGAGCCTCAGTGTCCACTTCTGTGAAATGGGAATAATAACAGGAAGGGCAGTTATAGTGGTGAGGATGTCCCGGTGCTCGGCGGGGCGCGGATTCACTCAGATCTGTTTGGGGAGCTGAGGGGAGAGGACCGGAGGTGAGAGCAGGGGACAGGCGGAGGGGGCACAAAGCAGGGCCACAGAGGTAGCGGGGTCACCAGCGCTGGGCGCTGGGAAGGGACAGATGTCAACCTTCATCAAGCAGGTGGAGGACTGAGGCGGGTCTGGCTGGTGCCTTGGCCTGGCCCATGAACCAGCTCCCCCACATCCAGGGGGCCCACTGGCCCCCCCCCGCCCCCGCCCGCGGCTCTCCTGGGGCCGCCGCGCACCGGAGACGTAGCCACGCACCTCCTCCGCAGGGCTGCCCAGCAGGACCTTGGCCCTGGCCATGTCGGCGGCTTCCACCTTGATGAGCCGGTGCTTGGGAGAGTCGTACTTGGCGTCTCCGAGGCCCTTGGCGTCCGCGCCGCCGGCGGGCTCGGGCTCCAGGCGGCCGTCCGCGTCCTCATAGGGGTCCTCAAAGTCCAGATTCTTCTGCTCGCGGTAGGCCCTCAGGATGTCGCTGTCCGTGTAGTCGGGGGCGGGCGGCTGCGGAGGGGGCCTCCGGCCGCCGAAGCTCAGGTAGTCCCGCAGCCACTTGGCCATGTGTGCGTGTGTCACGCCAAACCTGGCCGCCGTCAGAGGGGGACCCACACGCCCCCTTCCCGGCCCCGTTCTCCGAAGAGTCCCCAGGGAAGGTGGGGGGAGGGGAGAAAGCGGGAGGGGGAGGAAGGGGGGGAGGGGGGAAGACCAGGTGTGTCCCTCGGCTGGGCTCAGAAGGCGGTGACAGGAGAAAAGGAGGCAGACAGAGGAGGCAGGAGAGGAAAAGTCCACCTTAGCCCGGCTCCGCAAGGACGGCGGGGAAGGGAGCGCCCCGCAGGGCCCTGAATGCCGAGCGCTGGGTGGCCGGGCCCAGGCGACGGGCATCCGCGGAAGCGCGCGGAGTTTCCGCGGGAAGCGCGGTTCCCGTGCGCGGCTTGGCCGCCCGCCACCTCCGGGAAGCTCCGGGATTCCCTTCTGGGGTCCGGGGCTGGGGCGAGCGCCGCCCGCGGGCGCTCCCAGCCCCGCCTCCGCCCGGACGCCTGGGTTCTCAGCGCAGCGGGCGGGCTCCCCCGGGGCGCGGGCGCCGCGCGCAAAGTTGGCCCGCGGGGACGGCGACCTCCGCGCGGCGCGTCCTTTGTTGCGCTCCTCTCGGCTCCGGGGGGAGCCCGGGTCCAGCGGCCCCCGGCCCGGCCGCCTCGATCCAACCCCAGCCACCGGCACAAAGGGAAATAAAACCTCCTCCAACCCCCCTTCACGCTTTCGGAGAGACTTTACCCGCCGCGGCCGGGAGGGGGACTTTGGGGAGGGGGCGCGCGCGCGGACGCCCCAGCCGCTACCGGCCCCCAGCCGCGGCCCGGGCAGCGACGTCAAGGCTTCTCCGCCTCCCCCTCCGCGGCTCCCCCCGCCCCTCCGCTCCCCCGCGTCCCCCTCGGAGGTGACTGAGACCTTCAGCTGTTCGGGGAGGGGAGGGGAGGGGAGGGGAGGGGAGCCGCTGGCCGCGCTGGGAGGGGGTGCGGGGCGGGAGTCGCGGGGCCGCGGCCGCGGCAGCTGGACACTGACCCTGAGGACCGCGGCTGCGGCAGCAGCGAGCGCGGAGCGCGGGAGGTGGGAACGGATGGGGCTGACCTTGCTCACGAGAGCGAGAGGTGCAGAGGCGGGGAGGAGAGGAGGGGAGAGGAGGCGAGGTGGAAATTGGCCGGGAAATGGGGGTCTGGATTTGACCGCCAGAAGGGGTGAAACTGACCAGCAGAGGGGGTGAGAGCGACCACGACTGAGGGTTGAAATTGAGCCAGGATCTGGCGGCGCAACTGACCATCAGATCCTTCCAGAGGTCACTGGCTAAAATTGATATTGATGCCTCCGAAGCAAGTGGGGAGGCGACAGGAAGGGACGGGGGCCTCTGCTCTGCACCCCCCTCCCCAGGGGACCAATTGCAGCATGGGGGAAGGGGGCTGGGGCAGCTGGCCATGGGAAGGGAGATGCTATCTGTGCCTGGCGCGTGTCCTCAGCATCTGTCCCTTTGTGGCTTCTGGGGGTGGAGGCAGGGAGGGGAACGGAAATGAGAGGGGTCTCGCCTGGCCTGGGTGCCTGTTGGCAGCTGCGACTGTCTGGGGGTGAGGACACTAAGCGTTTGGGGGTAAGGGGAGCAGAGAGGTGGGCTGGACAATTCCAGAGCAAACGGGGCTTTTCTTTCATCATAAGGGGGCTTGCTCAGCTCCCGCTAATGCTGAAGTAAAAGGGGGGGGTGATCAGGGAGAATGGGACCCCAGATTCCCTTCTCCCAGTGCCCCCTCCCCCAGGCTGTGCAGGTGCCTGTGGCTGGCAGGGGAGGGAGGATCAGAGAGAAGCCGGAGCTGACAGTGTCGTGAAAATGTCCCTGGGGAAGAACAGTGGGTCGGGGCAAGGTCTATGCTGTCTGCGCCTTGCTTTCCTGGTTTGAAAAGTGGGGCTTCTCACAGGCAACCCCCCAGGGAGCCCGAGGAAGGATTGCCAGAAAGGAGTGAGTTATTTTTTCCCATGGGGAAACCGAGGCACAGCGGGGAGGACCTGCTCAGAGCCACCCGGCAGCTCGTTGCTGCCTGCACGCCCTGATATGGACCGGCTGGGGTGGTGGCATTCGAGACCCACGGAAGTGTCTTCATGGAATTAGTGTTTCTCCATCTCCCGCCCCCTCCCCGGCGCTTGCGGTTAGCCCCATTTTGCAGGTGGAGAGACTGAGGTCCAGAGCTGACAAGGCAAAGCCTCTCAGGACAGCAGAGGCTCCCACGGGTCTTCCTCTCTCCTGCTTTGACTGTGTCGCCCACATGAACCTGTTGAACTTGCTCCTCCTCCTGCGTGGCCCTCCAACCATGTGCCCCCACCCCCGCCCTCTCTGATCAGCGACAAGGCAGCATTCCCCCCCCCCCCCCCCCCCCCCCCCCCCCCCGGGCTGCCAGGGAGCACGGCGGGTAATTGTCCTGTTTTCTGTCAGCCGCAAGGCAATTCCCGGCTCGGGGATGAGCTGTTGACAGATCTCATCAAATCCGAGCCCTCTCCCAGTCGGATAAATACGAGACGTCTGAGGTATAAATATTTGAAAGGGGCCTTCTAATTACCGCGTGTGTCAGGAATAGCAATTAGAGGCCCCGGAGGCAGAATCAAACGGCGTTTGACTTTCCTGCGCTTTGGAGCTGGCTGCTCCCGGGGCTGCCCCCGCCCCCCGCCCCGCCCTACGGACAGGACCTAGAAGGGGTTCCAGGCGGAGCGAGGGGCTAGAGGTGGGGGGTGCGGAGATCCAGGCCCCCCGGTGCAGAGAGCCACGACCTTGCCGTGTGCCCTTGAAGAGCTGCAACAACTCTTGGGTTTCAGCGTGTTGATTGAGAGAGGAGGGGGCCGCTGGGTGGACAATGGGGAGCGGGTGGGGGGCTCTGGGGGTCCTGGGCTGAGGGTTCCTCCCTCCCCCCCCCCGCACCCCTGGTCTGGGAGGCAGTTTATCAGGGGCCTCTCCTGGGTGTGGCTGTTTCTGGAATCCCAGCCCCCTGACCTTGGGTGGTGACCTGGACTGTCTCCCCGGCTCTGAGATGGGCCAGTGACAGCCAGCCTCTGTTGAGCGCTTTGGGGACGCTGTGGGCAGCACCTTGGTTTTTTTTTTTTTTTCCTTTTGAGGTACAATTCGCATACCTGCTGCGCTTTACCCACTTGGCATGCGCGTTTCAGGTTGAGAATGTTCTCAAGATCGTGCAACCATCACCACTAATTCCAGAACATTCCCATCACCCCCGAAAGGAAACCCACCCCCATCAGCAGCCTAGGTCTATGCTCCCGATTCCTCTGGCCCCTGGCACCTCTAGTCCACTCTCGGCCCGTGTGGGCGAGCCTGCTCTGCACATTTCACACACACGGAATCTCACACTATGTGGCTTTTTGTGTCTGGTTCTCTCCCTGACACTGTCATGGGTCCAGGGTCCACCCATGTCGTAGCATGTGTGAGCGCCTTGCTCCTCTTACAGCCAAATACTATTCTACTGCAAGGCACACAGTAGGTGCTCAGTATATGATTTAGGGGGCTGGGACCTGAGGGAGGAGCCAGCTGGGGTCCCTGGCGGGGGCTGTCCTGTCACCCTTGTGTCATAGAGCAGCCAGTCTGGAGGGGGGGCAGGGAGCCAAGGCACCACGATAAGAAGGGACCCTTGGGGGTGGCTCATGGTGAGGCCTGAACACTCCTAATCTGATGGAGGAGACACGGCCCCGCCTTAGGAGCCCCTACTCTGATCTGATGGAGGAGACACGGCCTCGCCTTAGGAGCCCCTACTCTGATCTCAGCCCTGAGAAGCTCCTTGACAGTTTTGCCTTTTGAAACTCACAGTCCGATGAGAGAGACATGGTCTGGACCTCAGGAGCCTCAGGCTGATGGAGGACAGGTGCGTGCTTAATAGGCTCCCAGTCTGAAGCTTTCAGTCTGATGAAAGAGGCATAGCTCCGACCTCCGGGGCTTCCACTCTGATGCGAGAGATGTGGCCCTGCTTTTAGGTGCCCTTAGTCTCAGGGAGGACACGGGAGCCTATCTTTAGGAGTCCCAGTCTGATGGGGGAGGCGTGGCCCAACCTTCAAAGACCCCTAGTCTGATGGAGAAGACCCAGCTGAGTGGCTACTCTGATGGGAGAGGCCAGGCCGGCCCCTGGAGATGCTGTCCCCGCAGGAGTCCTCATGGAGCGTGGTCGTTAAAGGTGGAGCCTTGTGGCTGCAAACCCGGGCCCTGTCCCTCGCTCACTCTGAGCTTCCGGCCAATGAGCCTCCCTCACGGGAGTGAGCAGTGAGCTTGGTGCAGAGCCTGACCTGCCGCTAGAGCTTGGGGAGTGGGCCCTTTGTGCAGCACAGGCTCAGGCAGAGTGGGCTATGGGGGGTGGGGCACCCCCACCAAGTCCTCTGATGTGCCGCCGCCTCAGGGGATTGATGGAGGAGATTCTGGATGAGGCCTGACAGCGCCCTAGGATGACAGACAGGAGTGGAGAAAGGGAGAAGGGCAGGCTCTGGAGAGGGGGAGGGGGGACTCTGGGGAGGGGGAGGGAGGAACAGGGCGGGGGAAGGTTCTATAGGATCCGAGCACACACGCGCACACACCAGACCCTGATGTGTGCTACCCCTCTGTGCTGGACCCTGGGCACCCCCACAGAGTGGGGTCACAGCGTGGGAGAAGGAGGTGTGAAAGCCTGCAGGGAAATAAAACCGCTCCAGGCTGTGGGGAGAGGGAGGAGTTACACAGCGGGCAGAGCTGAGGGCCTCTGCTGCCTCAGCTGTGAATGGGGAGACACTCACTTAGGCCACAAACATCTATTGAGGAACTACTTAGTGCCTGGACGGTCTTAGTTGCTGGGAGATGCTCACCCGCCCACACAGCTGCCCTTGCAAAGCTCACTGTTGACAGGGCGCCCAGGAGGCAGACCCTCGGCCACCCTCCAGTGACCCCAACCTCCTGGTGGTCACAGCCACGTGTAAACCCCTCCCTGTGAATGTGGCCGGCCAGCGCAACAGGGCAAAGGTGATGGGGTGCCATGTCTCAAAGAGTCCTGTCGTGCTGACTTTGCGAAGCCAGCTGTCCGAGGTCCCCGAGGCAAGCACCAGAGGGCAGCCCCCACCCAAGAGCCCATGAGGAGCGGGGATCCTGCCAACAGCCACGTGAGCGGGCTTGAAAGCGGATCCTGCCCCAGGCGGGCCTTCAGATGAGACCACAGCCCCTGTCAGCATCTCAACTGCAGCCCCAAGACCCCGAAGCAGAGAACCCGGCAGGACCACACCCACATTCCTGTTGTTTCCGGCTGCTAACGTTTGAGAGATCTTGATAAGCAGAATTCGCTGGGGGTGTGGTACACACACCTCGTGATGGCAACCCCTCAGAGCCGTCTTGCCTGGTTCACCCAGAGCTATCACCGCCTCCGGCACGCACTTATTTCCTTGAGTATTTTATTATATTTAGGCAGGTTTACTATCTTATCCCCCATCTTCCAAAAATAATGTTACCATTATGAGTGGGGACTGTTTTTTCTTCACTGTCGTTGCCCCAGTGCCTGAAACAGATCTGGGCACAAAGTAGGTGCTTTAAAAAAAAAAACAAAAAAAAACCTATGTGCACTTGGAAACTAAAATGAGTAAATCTGCTCAACAAGCTTAGCACATGTTTGGCAAATGGCAAGTACTTCACAAACGGTGGCTATCATTACTCACTGCCATCCGGTGCGCCATGAGGAGAGGGCAGCTGGCGGCCATCCTCAGGGTGACCTCAGGCAGCAGGCTGCAGGCACAGAGTGAGCCTGGAAAACCTGGAAATCGGGATGCGGGGTGAGGGTCTCAGCCACCCTGTCGTGGAGGCTGGGGGAAGCAGAGCAGAAAGTGCAGAGCTGGGTGACCCAGTCAGGGGCCGGCTAACTTGTTGGCTTTGCGGGTCAGAGTCCCTGTCGTCACTACTCAACTCGGCCACCCTAGAGAGCGAAGCAGCCAAACGTTATGTGCATACAAATGGGCGTGCTGCTGTGCCAATAAAACTTTATTTACAAAAATAGGCCGTGGGCCACGTTTGGCCCACCAACCGTAGTTTGCTAATAATATAGGTTGTAGAGTGGAATTAATACTCTTAATAGATGGCAGTGTACACGGCAACAAGTAGGGTGGCCCCGAAACGATGGGAGTTCAGGGAACAGTCTGCAAGAATGAGTCAGGGTGAACCGGAGCGTCGGGGCCGCCTCATCTCTCCCACGACTTCGGCCGCAGGGCTTACTCCGCCACCGGCTCCGGCAGGGGTGGGGCGGGCGGGGCACAAGTTCCTGGCATGTGCCCGCCTCCGAGCTGTAGGCCGATTTCAGGGCACAGGCGCGAGGCTGCGGAGTGTGGAGCTGGGAGGTGCGCTGTCTGCCCAGCGGCGGGGGCCCCACTTCCGCCCGCAACAGCCCTGTCTTCACGCGTGGCCCGCCCGCCCCTCGACGTCATCGGAAGCCCTGGCTGGATCCCAGTTCGCCTCAAGTCACACTTAAGCACAGAAACCACTGAAGGAAAGCAGACGCCAAAAGTGGGGCTTTTCAGGGCGCCCGGGTGGCTCGGCCGGTTGACGTGGGCTCAGGTGGTGATCTTATGGTTCGTGGGTTCGAGCCCGGAGGCTGCTTTGGATTCTGTGTCTACCCCCCTCCCTCTCTGCCCCTCCCCCGCTCACACTTTCTCAAAAATAAACGTTAAAAAAGATTTTTTCTAATAAAAAAGTGAGGCCTTTTCATCTGGCAAACTGACAGCGAGAAGCACAAAGCCTCGTTATCAAATGCGAGTACGCGCGCACGTGAGGAGGGAGGAGACTGGGGGCGTCGCGGTGTGAAGGGGTCTGGGGGGAGCCAGGACCGCCGACCAGGGGGCTCTGAAGACGAGACCCGGCAGCCTCGCAAGGACGCGGGCTTTGGAACCGGGGCTCCGGGTCACGTGACCACGTCAGCTCTCTACACCACAAATCACCCTCATCACGTCCCGGCCTCCGAGGGCGAGGAGGCCGGAGCAGCTCCGCGTGCGCCTCCAGGGCCGTCCTCAGTCCTCAGGGGCCAGGCAGCAACCCTTTTATTGGTTTTCCGGGTTTGCGGCAGGAGGGGCGGGGCTAACCGGGGTGGGCGGGGCCGAAGGGGGCGGGGCCCAAACACTGCCCGCCCCTCCCTGCCGTCCAAGGCAGGCCGCGGAGTTCCACAAAGGCCTGCCGGCAGCCGAGGGCCGTACTGGGAGGCCACAGTCCCCGGGAGGGCCAGGAGGGCGGCAGTGTGAGCCGGGGACCCCGAGGCCCCCGACGGCTGGTAGGTGGGAGGCCGGGGGAGAAACTGAGTCCAGTGGCGGAAGCCCCCGCTGGCCCCGCCAGCCTGAGGTCATTTGTGTTTATCCGCTCAGGGCTCTGGTTGGTGCCAAGGCCTCCTGGCAACCAGCAGCTGACTAGGGACATGTGACCTTGACCCGGAGAAAGGCTTGGGCAGGGGTCTCAGTTGCTGCCGCTGCTGTCCTCACTGTCCGAATATGCCCCCAGCTGGCTCAGGGAGGAGGTGCCAGGCGTCCAGGGCGCAGGGTCAGCCGCCTTCCCAGTCTTCACGGGGCCTGGGAGAGAGGCGAAAGCTAGCCTACCAGCCTCACCCCTGCAGCTCTGGTGGGGGCGCCCCTCCCCTGCCGCACTCCGCCGGTTCCCAGCAGGGGGGGCGCTGCTGCCACCTGCGGTGGCCCTCTGAGGCGCCCCGCTCCGATCTCAGGACCCCGGGGCACCTACCCTGTGTGGGTGATGCCTGGCCCTGCCCAGTGCTGCGACCCAGGTCTGTTTTCTTCACCACGACTAGGCCCGACAGCGGGGGCCTGCTGCCAAGGGTGCCGATGCTCCGGTCCCAGCTCTCTGCCTTCCTCTTGGCTTTTGGAGCCTGGGGGTAAGGAGACGGGGACACAAGTGGGTGAACTGTCCCATATCCCACCTTCTCCAGCCCTACACGTCCTAAATCACACCACACCTTCTCACCTCCATGCCTTTACTCACGCCATTCCCTCCACCTGGAATGCCCCTTTTCCTCTAATGCATTTGGCGAACTCCTACTCACCCTTCAATACCCATTCAAGTATTGGGTTTCTCCTCTGGGAAACCTTTCTCCACAGTTCAAGCTCAAGTGGGTGCTGCATTTCCATGCCCCCCGCGCCCTCTACTGCCTTAAGTAACCCCCCATCCATGCCGTGGGTTCCTGTCCTGTCCACAGCTGGGGCCACAGGGCCACACACCATTCTTGGCACGAAGATGCTTTATCAACGTGTTTGATGCACTGAGGGGAAATGGAGGCACCCACTTTGGGGACTAGTTAGGGGAAGGCAGAAAGGGCTCAGCCCCACATCCAGCTTCAACTGTACCGGGAGGGACCCCTCTGATCTGTTTTATGTTGAAACAGAGAAACTGGAACCTCCCGGATTCGGGAGGTCCTGGCGCTGGGGCGGTCCTCACGGGGCCGCCGCCTGAGGGCAGAGGATGGAGAAGAGTAGGTCCTCAAGACAACATCCGTCTTGATAAGTGACGTGCCAGCAGGATGCCAGCGGGGTACGAAGTGTGAGGGACGCAGCCACTGGTGATGAGGCGGTCAGGACGGGTCTCCTCCGAGAGGGGACTCGGCTGATGCCAGAATGAGGAGGAGGAGCTAACACGCAGAGAAGTGAAGGGGGCTCCAGGCGGCCATGTGGCAATCTGCACGCCGCTCTAATCTGCAGGCTGGCCGGCCTGAGAGTGGTGACCAGGACAGACGTGGCCCAGCGGGGGACAGAGCAGCTTTCTGAGCCGGCATCACTGAACGGCCTCACGAGGTCCCCTGGGAAGGCCAGCGCTGGCCCTTGTGAGCACTCTCCCCAAGCCGGTCCCCGGGGGCTGCATCACTGCCACTAAATGGAACCGAGAACACAGGAGTGGACAGACGAGCTTCCGTAAAGCTCTCGGTGAAGATTTGGGAAGTCTCGATGGAGGCGTACTGTGCACAACAAGTCTGTCATCACGCTAGGTGTGAGCAAGACACTGTAACTGGAGGGTCGGGGGGGGGTCATCGATGAGGCCCCTGTTGCTTTCAAAGTGGCCCCAATCTCTTATTTAGGTGAAAGAAAAAAAGGGGAAATTTTAGACAATTCAGGGGCGGTTTGTGCAAGAAAGACAGTGTGAGAACTCTGATCAGGTGACAGCTCCTCAAAGAAAACGTCTGGGGTCAGTGTCAAAGATGAACGATGACAGTGCGAGACCTCCAGAGCCAGGCAGGGGAAACCCAGTGGGAACATGGCTGCCCCAAGGAAAGACTACATTTCCCATCCTCCTTTGCAGCAGGATGTGGTCAGGTGGCTCGGCTCTGATCAATGGGATGTGAGCAGCAGGCTGTGCAGGACCCAGGATCCTGAGGTCTGAACCTCCCGCTCCCCTGCCCGCCCCTCTCTTCCTGCCAGGAGGTGAAGGTGGCACCAGGAGACCATGCAATGAGGGCACCGCCCCCGGACAGCAGAACCACGAGAGGGCGGGCCCCTGGGACCCGTGCTGTGGGGCCACCTTCCCTGCTCCAGATGGCTGCACATAAAATGTCACAGGAGAGAAAACTGACCCGTGTCATTGAAACCCTTGTTACCTGGGGTCTTGTCCAGTGGCCAGGCCTGCAACCTAGTAACTCGGACCACGGATACGTCTGAATTGCAATAAACTGTTTTTGGGGTGACTGTCGCTTATGATTTCTCTCATTAACCCCCTTCTTTGATTAACAAACCAGAGTGGCCTTGACCACCACAGGTAAGCCAGCTGTGGTGGAAAATGCTAGCAGTCCACCAGCCAAATCCTTCTCTCCCCTCCTTCCCGCCAGCAAAGGCCGCAGCTCCCAGGCTCTGTGCGGCTCCTGTGGCCACGACGTTAGTCCAGCGGATGACCTACATCCAAATATGAGCCTCAGGGCCCTGGCATGCTCGCAGCCGGCCGTGACCCCGGAGCCGGACCTGACACTCCCGAAGACAGTCAACCGAGAAGCTGGAAAGCGCCTGGAGCAGAGGTGCCTGGCCGTGACCCTGGGACCTTATGGGGCCGACAAACATCTGTGTCCTTGCGTCTCCACATTTGCGGGTCTCCTTGTTTCAGCGCCTGAAGCAGCAGCTGGTAAAGCAGAGCCTGTCTTGACCATGAACTTTTACTGGCCCGTGGCCTCAGCCACTCATTCCCTGAAGATCTAGGGCTGGTGGGGCTGCGCCGGCCGAGTTGAGCCCTTAGGACACCCGCCGACCCTGGCTCATCTGTGCGTGCACTCACCTCCTCCAGGATGGCGGTGGGGTTGGGCCTCGCGGCCAGGCGTGGGGGCGCGGGGGCAGCCGTGTCCTCTTCGGAATCCGAGTCCTCCAACAGCCTTCGTTTCCGAGCCTCCTCCACCAGGGCCCTGTGGGACGGCACGTGTGCCAGCCAGGTCATGCCACGCTGCGTCAGGGGGCGCCATGGGGGGCACACAGATGGCTTTAAAAAGTCTTCTCTGGGGGAGCTGGGTGGCTCCGTGGGTGGAGCACCCGACTCCCGTTACCGGCTCAGGTCGTGATCTCAGGTCACGATCTCGGGGAGACTGAGCCCCGCGTCAGGCTCTGCACTAAATATGGGGCCTGCTGGGGATTTCCTCTCTCTCTGCGCCTCCCCTGCCTGCGCGCTCTCTCTAAATAAATAAGCACTAAAAACTTTTTATTCCTCTGCCCACTGAGCGCAGCGAGTGAAGTGGTTGGCCGATGGCACCAGCTGCCTGAAGCTGAACCCCGGCTGGTGGCTAGGTTGGGGCCACTCCCGGAGCGCCCCACGCCACAGTGCCCTCGATACCGGAATGATCAGGACAGCCTCCAGCCAGTGCCTGGCACTCAGAAAGTGCTGGACAAACGTAACTCCTCTCACTGCCCATCGCGGTATTGCTGGCGGTGACCCCCCCACGCCGCGGGGACCTACTATGCGCCTGACCCTGTTCCAGGCCCTGGGGTGCAGATGCCACACCACAGCCCTGCTGGGCGTCTAGAGGGAGGGATGGAGGCCACAGACCAGGAGACGGTGAATCAGCGAGAAGGTTCCACGGCAGGCCGGGCCTGAGGGTCCTCTTGGGAAATCCCCAAACCTGGGGCAGGGGGGCTTGGGGACTCCGACAGGCACCCGGGGAAAGTGAGATGCTGGGGAGGGGAAGGGAGGGCCTCCTGGAGGAGGCGGCCCCCAAGGGAGCCAGGGAAGACCTGGAAGGGGTGCCCCAGGCAGAGGGAAAGCCGGAGGTGACTCAGAGCGCCCGGGCCCCGCCCCCGCCCCCCGGCCCGGCCGACGCACGCGGTCTCCCTCTCGTCCTCCTCCTGCTGCTGCTGCTGCCGCTCCTCGTCGGACAGGCGGTGCTGGCGCAGCATGGCCTCGAAGTCCACGTGCGCCTGCCGCTGGTTCAGGTCCTTCAGCTCCTGCAGGTTCTCCAGCACCTCCATCTCCAGCTTGGAGTCCTTGGTTCGGTTCTCCAGCACCTGGCGGGCAGGACACGGGCTGCAGGGTCCCCCACCCCGCCTCCCACCTGCTTCCACGGCCGCACCCATGTCACAGCTGCGAACACCAAGGCCTGGGGTGTGGTCTCCTGAGGCCTCGAGGCTGGTCAGGGGGCAGCCAGCCGGCCTGGGCTTGCACCCCCCACCCCTCACCCCCGCCCCATCATGAAATAATGTAACAAAGAGGAGGGGCTCAGGGCCTGGATCTCAGGGTCGGGAGTCCCCTGCGCTGGGCACGGAGCCCACTTAAAAACATTGTAACAACAAAGGGTAAAAAAAGACACTCTGAGCCACTGCCACGTGCCAGGCTGAGAGGTCTCCAAACAGAAGGTCAGTTAATCCTTGCGACTGTCTTCTGTAGAGGCTCGGGGGGGCAAGGCCAGCCCAGGTGTCTGAGGCAGGGGGGCTTGGAGACGGGCAGGGCTGGGTGTGGGGCCTGCCCTTGGCTGCTTCCTGGCCGGAGCCTCTGGGAAGTGGCAGTCCTGGGAGTTTGAAAGCATGTCCCCAATTCTTAGGTGCTCCTCCCGTGAGAAAGCAGAGGCTGAACTCCCTTCCCGCACATGTGTGCTGGACGCCGCGACCCGCGCCTGGTGATGAGTATGAGGGATGACAGCCTGTCGCTGTGAGAGCGGCTCCTTTCCCGCTCTTCTGGGTCCCTCGCTTTGGGGAGGGCGGCACCACATCGTGCAGGGGCTCAGACAGCATGGGGGGGTCGGGCAGGGCAGAGGGGGGGCCCACCCTGAGGGCATCTGCATGGAAACAGGCCCTCTGGTCTCCGTCGAGCCTTCAGAAGATGTGGCCTGGGGCGCCCGGGGGGCTCAGCCAGTCGAGCGTCCAACTTCGGCTCAGGTCATGATCTCACGGTTCGTGGGTTCAAGCCCTGCGTCGGGCTCTGTGCTGACAGCCAGCTCAGAGCCTGGAGCCTGTTTCGGATTCTGTGTCTCCCTCTCTCTCTGACCCTCCCCTGTTCACGCTGTCTCTCTCTCTCTCTCTCAGAAATAAATAAAACATTAAAAAAAAGATGTGGCTTGACCGTGACTTTGGGGCTAACTCACTAGGCCGTAGCCCCCACAGGCAGTGCGGGCGGACAAGGATGGACGTGACCAGGCAGGCAGCTCCGGGCACACCAGCCCCTGCAGAGCCACCCCCCCCACCACTCTGCACCCCCAGGTCTGCTGCAGCAGCTCAGAAAACTGGCGAGGGCGCGGGAAGAGCTGGGCGTGACGGGGGCAGGGAGACCGGAAGGGGTTTCCCGCGTCTGACGTCACTCGGTCCCCACCTCAGCCTGCGAGTGCAGCCAGCAATCCCACTGCTTGGAGGAGGGCGGCGAGGCACAGAGAGGCCAAGCACCTTGCCCCGGGTCACAGAGCCAGCGAATGAACGGTCAAGGGAGTGTGTCCTTCTGCATTGCTGGTCCTCACAGCCCCCGGTCCTAGGGGTGTCCTGTGCAAGCTGAGGGGTAGGCGGCCGCAAGAAAAGCGGCCTGTGTCCTCAAGTCCGACTTCCTAGGTCCCTGTGTCACTTCCTCTGGCTGCGTGACCATCTGCCACCAGCCCAGTGGCTTAAGCAGCACGGATCTCTGTCTCCTGGCCAGCGTGGGCCAGGAGTCCAGCACCGTGCGGCACAGCTGACTCTGACCAGTGACATCAAGGGTCAGTGGTCTCATCGGGGGCCCAGGCCACTGCAATCAGTTCCTGGCGGCTGAGGGACTGAGGTCCTCACTGTCTGGCCAGCTGATGGATGGGGGCTCACCCCCTGCTGCCTGCCAGGTGGCCCCCGCCCCCGCCTTGCCCCTTCACGCCGCTAATGTGCTCCAGACCCAGGCTACGGGGCTCAGGCGACAGGCCCGGCCCTGAGGCTGACTGCGAGCAAACCGAACGACCGGATCACAGGATCGGGTCCTGGACACGCAGCCCCAGGACCGCGCAGGGTGCGCGAGCGGGAGGCAGAGCTGCGGCCCACCCTCCCCACCCAGTCCCGCCACGTGGCCAGAGGCAGGAGGGACACAGGAGGCTCCACCCCTCCCCCCGCTCTACCTTCATGGGGTTGTTCAGCTCCTCGTCCTCTCGCTCCTTCTGCACCCGCTTCTCCTCCTCCTCCAGGAGCTTCTCCGCCTGGAAGTTCCGGGTGGCTCCGTGCTCCATGCTGTAGTCCGTGTTCTCTGGGTCTGTCTGCGCGCGGGGGAGGGGTAGACGTCAGTCCCGTGTCCTTGGGCAGCAAGAGATCCTGCCAGCTGGCAGCGCACGGCCCCCACCCCCAGCCCATGGCCCCCCGCCCACGGCCCACAGCCCCCAACCCCCAGCCCATGGCCCCCCACCCACGGCCCCCAGCTAACGGTCCACAGCCCACAGCCCTCAGCCCACGGCCCCCAACCCCCAGCCCATGGCCCCCCACCCACGGCTCCCAGCTAACGGTCCACGGCCCACAGCCCCCAGCCCACTGCCCCCGCCCCCAGCCGATGGTCCACGGCCCACAGCCCCCAGCCCACTGCCCCCCCCCCCCGGCCCCCAGCCGACGGTCCACGGCCCATAGCCCCCAGCTCACAGCCCCCAGCCTGCATGCCATGGTCCACAGCCCGGGATGCTTTCTCTCGTGCTTTACTCCTTCTGGGGGCTATTCTTTCCTTTCCTTTTCTAAGTTTGTTTGTTTGTTTATTCACTTACTTAATTTTGGGGGAGAGGGGAAATGAGATGGGAGAAAGAGGGAGAGGGAGAGAATCCCAAGCAGGCTCCACGCTGTCAGTACAGACCCCAGTGTGGGAACTGAACTTATGAACTGTGAGATCATGACCTGAGCTGGAGTCAAGAGTCAGACACTTAACTAACTGGAACACCCAGTTGCCCCAATTTAAAAAACTTTTAATGTTTATTTTTGAGAGAGAGAGACAGTGCGAGCAGGTGAGGGGCAGAGAGAGAGGGAGACACAGAATCCGAAGCAGCTCCAGGCTCTGAGCTGTCAGCACAGAGCCCGACACGGGGCCCGAACCCACAAACCGTGAGATCGTGACCTGAGCCAAAGTCAGACAGTTACCTGACTGAGCCCCCCAGGCTCCCCTAAAGCTTTTGTTTAAAAAGCAATCAAAGGGGTGCCTGGGTGGCTCAGTTGGTTAAGTGTCCGACTTCGGCGCAGGTAACGATCTCACGGTTCATGGGTTCGAGCCCCGCGTCAGGCTCTGTGCCAACAGTTAGGTCAGAGCCTGGAGCCTGTTTCACATTCTGTGTGCGTCTCTCTCTCTGACCCTCCCCTGCTCACGCTGTCTGTCTCTGACCCTCATAAATAAATAAAAAGCATTAAAAATTAAAAAAAAATAAAATAAAAAATAAAAAACAATCAAAATATGGAGCACCTGGGAAGCTCAGTCGGTTGAGCATCCGACTCCTGATCTCGGCTCCGGTCATGATCTCACGGTTCAAGGGTTTGAGCCTCGCGTTGGGCTCTGCGCTGACAGCACGGGGCCTGCCTGGGTTTCTCTCTCTCCCTCTCTTCCCCTCCCCCACTTGTATGTGTGATCTCTCTCAAAATAAATAAATCAACTTAAAAAAATGTAACTGAAGTATGTAATTCTTTAAATGTACCTTTTCTTCATTTCACCCAAATCTTGTTTATTGACCCAAAGGGAAAAACGCATGGTAAGAAGGTGGTACTGTAAGTTCCTGAAAGGGGAACGGAAGGCTCTCCTCCTCCTCCCCCTAGAACCTCACAGTCACCATGGTTACCGGCCGCCCATGTGCTCCCTGAATCCCTTATTGCTGGACACCTGGGTCGCTGCTGTGTTTCTGCCCTTGCGAATGATGCTCCCCATGAACAGCTCCCCAAACACCCCCGTTTCCTGGGGATAAAGTGAAAGGGGGCCTCCCTGCAGTGGCGGGGAGCCCCCGAGGGGGCAGGAGCAGCCCAGCTGGCGTCTACCTTGAAGGTGATCTCCGCCAAGCACCGCGTGCACTTGATGTAGAAGCGGAAGATGGGCAAACCCAGGTAGGCCTCGTTCTGCACCGTCTCCTTCCGCGCGTTGAACTTCTTACCCTTGTAGATATACTCTCCGCACGTCTTACACCTGCGGGGCAGGACAGAGGGACCTGCACCATCTCGGTACCCAGGTTCCTGCGGAGGGCTGCTTGCACACCTCCAGGGCCGGGGGGCTCCCTCCCTCCCACGGCAGCCTGCCTCAGATTCCCCCCGTGTTGCGTGTTCCTCCTCCTACCTTCCTGGGTCTCGGTCCCAGGGTCCCCTTCTGGGGAAGCAGCCGGACGACCCAGGCCTGCTGAGACTTGCTAGTCACACACTCCCTGAAGCCTGGCTGGCGCTCACGGGGCATCCTAGCCTCCAGAAGTTTCCAGCAGAAGGGAAGCCACAGGAGCCGCCCAGAAGCTCTGTCCACCCTGCCCTCGCTCAGGCCCCGTGCTCCCCAGGCGCGGCACGCCGGCCTCCTGATGCTTCCTGCAAACACCCCCAGCTCAGGCCCCCTCCAGGCCTCTGCCCTGCACTTCACGGAGCCCAGGACACCCTTCACCTTGCAGACCTCAGCCCCACTGCCGTGTCTCCTAACGTGTCCCTGACCACGTCGGCCCAGCAGCCCCCTTCCTGCCACCTGCTCCGTCACCCTCCCTCATGCCCGAGGCACATGTCCCGCGTGCACCGGGCGCCAACGTGCCTCAGCACCTGGTTATCATCTCCACCCCCTCCCGCCTGTGGGCTCCGCCCGTCTCGCTCCCCGCAGCGCCCCTGGGACCCAGCCCGGGCCCGGGCACACAGCAGGCGCCCCAAGTGATTGCCGAATTGAAAAAGGAGAGAGAGAAACAGACCAACAATGCGTAAACAGTGAATGTCATTAACCAGGCGTCTGCGAGGAGCAGGGGCACCTAACTTCAACATGCGGAGACACACAGGTCTCCAGCAGTAGCGGCGGGGGGCACAGCATGCGTGCAGCAGGACAAGGGGCACGATGTAGGGGTGGAGAGGCAGAGGGGGGCATGGAAGGGGTTGGAGGGGCGTCAGGAGGGCCTCTCTGAGCTGAGGTTGTTTTTTTAAAGATTTAATTAAACTAATCATTTATTTTTTTTTTTTGAGAGAGAGGGCGTAAAGTGAGCAAGGAGCAGAGAGAGAGAAAGAGAGAGACAGAAAGACACAAAGAGAGAAGTAAGGCTCACCCGAAGCAGGGGCCAAACTCACCCAACACAGGGCTCGAACCCACAAACCACAAGATCATGACCTGAGTCAAAGCTGGATGCTTAACCGACTGAGCCACCCAGGGGCCCCATAAATATTCATACTCTTAAATTTATTTATTATTTTTTTGTTAATCTCTACACTCAACATGGAGCTTGAACTCACAACTGTGAGATCAACAGTCACATGCTCTACAGACTGAGCCAGGTGTCCCTGAGGGGTGAGATTTAGGCCAAGACCTGAAGGGTGAAGATGAGCCAGCCATGTTAGAGAAGGAGGAAGAGTGTTCCAGGCAGAAGGAACAGCCCGTGCAAAGGTCCTGGGGTATGAAGAAGTATAGCTGTTGGGAGGAGGTGAATTATCTCCACACTCACACTTAACTACCAATGATCAAGAGCTCAAGGCCGACGCTGGCTAGGAGCTCTAAGAGTCAGGGGGGTTAATCCTGAACGGTGAGGAAAGTGACAGCGACAGCTGGTATGGTCACGTGCTCACTGGGCCACCACGCGGGGGCCACACGGGAGTCACTCACCTCATGTTGAAGGGAGCCATCAACCGCACCACGTACTGCCGGTCTTTGGGGAGCTTGAGCTTGGGGATCTTTGACGGGTCAAAGTCGGGGGGGTAGTATTTCTGTGGGAAGTGAAAGTGCCAAGGGAGCTGTATCAGGCCCAGGGAGGGACGCACACTGGGTCCCCCGGACCACCCGGGGTGTGATGACTTGCTGTGATGGCTCCTAGGACTCCACGGATGCTCGTACTTATGGTGACCACTTGTTACAGCAAAAGGACACAGGGACACATCAGCAAAGGGAAGGGGTGTGTGGGGAGGTGTCTGGGGAGACCAGACACCTGCTTCCAGAGTCTTCTCCCCACAGAATTACACAGGACGTGCTTGATTGCCCCAGTAACGAGATACACACCGCGTGTGACACGGGGTCTCCCGGGGAAGCTCATGGGGACCCAGCGCCCAGGGTTTTTGCCGTCGGAAGGCCACACGGGCCCCCTGTGCCTCGCAGGTTCTGATGTTCTCGACTCCAGGAGGAGGGCCCACGCGCAGCATAAACCACACCATTCGTACAAAATTTAAGCACAAGGAGCCATACTCATCAGGGGACCTTGGGAACGAGCCTGAGATTCAAGTTCCCAGATGCCAGCCAAGGGCCAACCTGGCCGCCAGCCTGAGGATGGCAGCCTGAGTTTGCTGCACTAACTCCTTCACTGGAGCCTGAGGTGGGAGATTTGGGGAAGGCAGGTTTGGGTTATAAAAAACAACTCCAATGGACGATCAGGTAATACAGCAGCTTGTGTTCTGAGCACCTACTCGGCACTGGATGCTACATGGAGCACTTCACATGCCACGTCTCACAGAATCCTCACAAAGACTCTAGGATACGGAGTGTGGTGTACCCATTTCACAGATGGGGAATGAGTGTCTGCAGGGACACAACTCTGGGGAAACAGCGTGGTACAGTGGTTAGGAGCGCGGTTACCGAGCCAGGGTTTGACTCCTCCACCCCCTGGCTATCACCCATCTCTCCCGGCCTCATTCTCATCTGAATGGAGACAACCCGTCCACCTCCCTGATGGGATGCGCAAGGCGCTACTGCAGCCTCCGGCGCAGAACTATCCACCAGTAAATTACAGAAACGGCTCCCAGTTGGATCCTCAGGATGGAAGGACTTTCAGGGACACGAAGCCCAGCACCTGCACTGGACTATGAAGGGGCTGGAGATGCATTCCTAACACGACTGTTTAAAAGATTAGAACGCTGAGCCGCAGGAAGGGGCATCAAACCGACCCTGGAAATCTGGGCTTTTGGCTTGACATCCCGGACTCACACCCCTCACCCCTATCCCGGGAGCTCATCCCCTGACATTCCCGGCGGGGGCGGGGGGAACAGGAACTCGGAATTCAGTAGCTCTCTTCTCTAGAAGACGAATCCTGAGTTCTGAGCTCCCCTGAATCTCACAAAAGTCCGGGTTTTACAAGAGAGTTCGAAGGGTCCCCCGCCAGCATAATGGGAGGGCAGAGCAAAGCTGACCCTTGGGTGGGCGGGGCCTCATGGAGCCACGTTCCTGGGGGCGGGGCGGGGCGTGAGGGGAACACCTATAATTTCAAAGCGGACCCTCTCCCAGGGGAAATGATTGGCTAATTCCCTTCGAAACATCCAATCAGGGGATGTGACCAGGTAAATGGGCTAAGCTCCGCCCTCAAACGCTGCGAAGGCCCACCCCTCACGGAAGGTGATTGGGAGGTGTCTGAAAGCCCCGCCCTGCGGAAGACGGTTGGAGAAAAGAAAAAGGTTCCAACGGGAAGAGTACAGGAAGCCCATCTAGGCCGGAGCTCCGAGATGCCCCGCTTAGGGTAGAAACCCCAGTCACTAAGTACTTACGTTTAAAACTTTTCGCTCCGACATCTTTGCCTCCTACTCCACCCACAAACGCCAGAGGGCTGCTCAGGCTCAGCGTTTGCCGAACTTCCCTTGTATTTCCGTCGACGTCACTTCCTCCATTCTATTATTGGTTGGAGCATACGCACGTTCCCTTTTCATTGGCTCTGATCCCCGCCCGTCAAGACCCGAATCCTTCTATCTTCTCTTCCGAGTGGCAACCTAGATAGTTGGCAACAAAAGCTCCGACGGCAGCTTATTAGAAGTTCAAGGGAGGGCGCTGCTCCCCCTAGCGGTGAGCAGCGGCTCCTAAAACTTCGTCGTGACGGGCCGTGGCCGCTGCCGGCGACATTCCCTGCTTGCTGTTTCTTGGAGCGAGCCCCGAGGTCGGCGTTGAGCGCCGAGCCCTTACGCTGTGTGCTGGGCTGCGGGAAGCCACACGTGTTCCCATACCCTAGCGCTCACCTGGGGACTGGGGTCAGCGCCCACGGGCTGCACATGTCCACAGAGGAGCACCCTGGACGCCCCCCCGCCCATGTTTACCTGTGTCCCGGGCAGAGACTCAGAGACCAGGCTCCACACTCACCTCCCCTGCACGCACGCACACACACACACACACACACACCCCAGCTCCCACACCCAAACACCTGGGAAGGGATCTGGGGACAGTACAATAGGGCAGTGTTGGGACAGTGGAAAGAAGAGCTCTCTAGATGGTGTATGAGCTTCCTGTGGCTGCTGCGAGGTTTCACAAGCTCCCTGTCCTAAAACCATACACGTTTACTATCCTGTGGTTTGGAGGTCAGAGGTCTAACGTGGATGGGGGTGGGGGGGGTGCTCACGGCAGAATCTGTTTCCTGGACTTTTCCAGCTTCGAGGGTCCGCCCACGGTCCCCGGCTCGCGGATTGGCATCCCTTTGGCTTCTGCTGTTGTCACATCACCTCTCTCTCTCTCCCTCATGGTCCTTATCATGATCTTGGGGCCCCTGCATCATCCAGGAGAACCGGCCTGGATGTTCATTAACTTAATAAAAGATCCTTAATCTTCAAATGAAGGATTCTCATGATTCTTTTATTTTTTAAAAAACTTTTAAATGTTTTATTTCTGACAGAGAGAGAGACAGAGAGAAGGGGAGGGACAGAGAGAGAGGGAGACACAGAATCCGAAGCAGGCTCCAGGCTCTGAACTGTCAGTACAGAGCCCGATGCAGGGCTCAAACCCACAAACCGTGAGATCATGACCTGAGCCGAAGTCGGACGCTCAACCAACTGAGCCACTCGGGCGCCCCCAGATTCTCATGACTCTTAATCACATCTGCAAAGTCCCTTTTGCCACGTAAGGTACTATATTCACAGATTCTGGGCACTAGGAGTTGGGTATCTTTTGGGAGCCATGACTTTGCTGGCCATAGACGAGGTGGTCAGGAAAGTTTTCTCAGAGAAGGTGACTTCTGAGTGAAATTCACAAACCAGCCCATGCATTCTCTCTGGCCCTCAGTGGGGACGGCTTTGCTCCCTCCTAGAGAAATCTTCCCAGGCTCGTGTCCTATATGTGTCCACCCACAGTGAGGATCGCCCCACGGCAGGAGGGAGGTGGACTCAACTGCTGAACTGAATGGATTCCACGCCCCCCTCCCCCGCCCCAGGCAGAACTCCCGCCTCTAGCCCCAGGACTCCTCCACCCCCATGCTTTTCCTCCCGCCCAGCCCTGACCCCGGTCATAGGAGTGAGGAGTCGCTGTGTGTGTGTCCCGCTCCATCTTCTCTGGGCCTCATCTGGGTCTAGTGAAGGAAGGGAGGAGTAATCCTGATTCCAGCAACAACAATCTCTTTCTAAACAGTAAAAAAACATCACACGTTCCCAGTTTACAAAAGCCCTGTTCAGCGGTCTAAGGAAGAAGCACACACCCATTTCACAGATTGACCAGCTGAGGCTCAGAGAAGCAAAGTCGTTTGTCCACAGTTGCCAAGCAACTCGGCATCAGTGAATGCAGGCCAATTGGGTCCCATCCGCAGCAGTGGGGGTGGGGAAGACGTCAGGGACCCAGCCCCTCTTCTGGGGGTCCTAGGAAGCCCCCTACTTGTCCCCGATCATGGAGGCGGTGGCGGGAAGACTCCAGTCACTCAGCTCCCCATAGTCGGTGAGGTCCTGAGCCGCCACCTGGACGCAGTACTTGGCCCGGGGCCTCATGGCCCTGAGGGTGAAGGATGTGGCTTCAATGGGCCCCACCTGAGAGCAAAGAGAGGGCCAGGTCAGCGGGAAGCAGGAGGCTGGGGGAGGCTGGGGGGGGCCGGCGTGCACAGAACTGCCAGGCCCAGCCTCGCATCCCCAGCCCCGATCCGAAAAGCACGTCCTGTAGCCCCCCCTCCAAGGCATTGGTCCTTCCTGATCCTGGCCCCAAAGCCGCCGTGTCAGGATTCCTTTGGGGACCTCACGCCCCCCAGGCTGTCTCAGCAGTCAGACCCCGCCCAACCTACTCCTCCCCCAGGCCAGAACCAGGGCCTCTGGCTCCCTCCTGGCCCCACTGGATTGACCTGGTTTTGCAGTTTTCGGTATCTTCTGTTTCAAGATCTTCTACATCTTGGTGACCAGGGTCAGCCGATTCTCAGAGTTCGCTAAACCAGCCAGGAGCCTGCCTCTCACGTACACACAGGCCCATCCGACTCACCCCCCTCTTCCTTGAGCCCTCAAGCCGGTCCTCCCCCTGCCTCAAAGCCTCCGGGGTCAGGTGCAGCCCAGAGGCGGCCGGAGCTCTTCAAACTTGCCAGCCCCAAGCTGATCGCCTTGCTCTGCCTTGCCTTCCGGTGGAAACCCCAACGGAGGCTCGGCCACGGCTCTCCTCTGGCTCCCGTGTCTGCCTCCTGGCCGTCCTGATGTGGCCCCTGTGGCCCTGGGTGGCCTGGCATTGTCCCCTTCTGTCGGGAAATCTACTAAATCTTCTTGCCAAGAAGACCTCTCCACATCCTCACTCGGTCATTGACACAGCTCTGCCTTCTCCAGCCTGATAGTCCCACTCTTCCTCTCAGACCTGGCCCTTCCCTCCTTCTGGGTCCCCCTCATCCTCAAGAGCGACCCAGCCCAGCCCCCACAGGCAACCTCCTGGCCCCAGACCTAACTATCTCCCTCTCGCCTCTGCCCTGACCTGTCCCGATGGTCACCGGGTGTGGTGATGGGCGCTTTGCATTTAGATAAATTAAGTTGCGTAACTTTGCGAATACGATCGAGGCCACTGGCTTGTGCACTTTAAAACGGCGAGTTTTATGGCATGGGAATTCTGTCTCAATTTTAAGGATTGCAAAAATATTTAAAATACAATTAATGAACGCTAAATAAAATTTAAAAGCACATTCCTTGGCAGGGCGCCTGGGTGGCTCAGTTAACTGTCTGACTGATTTCAGCTCAGGTCATAATCTCACGGGTTCAGGAGATCGAGCCCCACATCAGACACAATTGAGCTTGGGATTTTCTCTCTCTATCTGTCCCTCCCCAACACGCGCGTGTGCACCCTTTCTCTCTCTCAAAATAAATAAATAAACTTAAAAAAAAAAAGAGGCCAGGTCCTTGGCGACTCCCCTATGACAGTTGCTCAGTAAGCACACGTGGGTTCGGGTACAGCTGTGGCGGGTGCACACGGAGAACATTCCCATGTTCCCAGAACGTGCTGCGGGACAGCGCTGCGGAAGCCTGCGGCCCGCAGACACTGAGCTCCTGGGCCTGCCCTGCGGGGCTGTCCGGTGCACAACCGACCTCAGACTCTCAGCAGCACCCGGCCCTTGTTTGTTTTACTTTGTAAAAATTTTAAAACAATGTATTTGTTTTCAATCAAGGGGAAATCCGCATGACACTAAATTAAGGAATTGAAAGGCACCATCCAGTGGCACTGAATACATTTCCACTGTTGTGCAACGGTCAACTCTAGTTCCAGAACATTCCATCGTTCCAAAAGGAACCCATGTGCTCGTTAGCAGCCTCTCCCCACCTGTCCTCCAGCCCCCGGGCCCCACGATTCCCTTCCTGTCCATGAAGGAGCCTGTGCTGGACGTGTCACGCACGTGGACTCACACACGCGTGGCCTCCCGTGTCTGGTTCCCTCCCTGACCGTCGTGTGTTCAGGGTCCGTCCGCGGGGCGGCGGTGGTGGGCGCCTCGCTCCTGCTCGCGGCCGAGGGACGTGCGCGTGCGCGGTGGATGCCCCTGAGGGCTGTGCGCATGCCCCTGAGGGCTGTGCGCATGCGCGGTGGATGCACCTGAGTGATGTGCGCGTGCGCGGTGGTGACAGTCATCTGTGGACTCCCGCGTGCACGGTGGACACGTGTGTTTATTCCCCTGTTGACAATGGGGCAGCTTCCACCTTTCGGCTGTTGTGAACGGCGCTGCCATGGACATGTGTGTGCAAAGACTTGTTCAAGGGCCCATCTGCCGACCTTCTGGGGGGATGCCAGGAGTCCAGTCTCTGGGCTGCCCCCGTGTTGCGCACCCCTGCCGGCGTGCTCGCCTCCACCCGGGAGCCGCCCTCCCAGCCCCCTCGTCCTCCTCACCTGGCGGAAGCGCGCAGATCTGTGATGCTTGTATCGGATCCAGTACTTGAGTGCGAAGGTCTCTGGGAAGGGCCAGGACCGGGGCGGTTCCCACTGCACCCACAGCCGCTGCCCAGGGATGGGGCTCAGGCGGACGCCTTCCGGAGGGTCGGGTTTGACTGGTGGGCAAGCGGGACACAGGGTCAGGAGGGGCTGGCAGACTCATGCCATCGGGTATTCACTGACGGTCTACTGAGTGTCCAGCCTGGACGCTGGGGGCACAGCACCAGCCCAACCCTTACCCTCCTGGAGCGCGATCCCTCGGACAAAAGACCAGGAACAGGTCATAAAGAGTAAGGAAGAAAGATCGAGAGTACACGCAGGAGAGTGGGTTGCAGTGCCTTGAGACACAATTCGCATACGGCAAAACCTTTCTGAAGTGTCAGGTTCTGGGGCGCCTGGGGGGCTCAGTCGGTTGAGCGTCCGACTTGGGCTCAGGTCACAATGTCACGGTTCGTGGGTTCGAGCCCCGCATCGGGCTCTGTGCTGACAGCTCAGAGCCTGGAGCCTGTTTCAGATTCTGTGTCTCCCTCTCTCTCTGACCCTCCCTGCTCACGCTGTCTCTTATCTCTCTCTCAAAAATAAATAAAACATTATAAAATTTTTTATATAAAAATAATTTTAAAAAATACATAAAGTGTACGGTTCAGTGGCTTTTACTGCATTCACAGACTGTCACCACTATTTAACATTCCCCCTAAGAATCCCCGTCCCCTTTGCCAGCCACTCCCCATCCCTGAGAACCACGAATGCACTTCCTGTCTGTGGATGGGCCTGTGCTGGACATTTCCCATAAAAGGACTCACACCCCGCGTGGCCTCCCGGGTCTGGTTCCCTCCCTGAGCGTCGTGTGTTCAGGGTCCCCCCGTGGGGTGGCGGGTGCGGGCGCCTCACTTCTGCGATGTTGTTCCCTCATATGGACAGAGCATGTTTTGTGCGTCAGTCATCTGCCGATGGACACCGGTGTCGTTTCCACTTTATTGTGAATAATGCTGCCGTGGCCATCAGTGCACAAGGTTCTGAGTACATGTGATTTCATTTCTCCTTGGCATATATTTGACTGCAGATGCTGGCTTATGTAACATGTTTAACTCTTCGAAGGGACTACCAGACGTTTTTTGTTTTTTTTTTTTTTTTGAGAGAGACAGCGTCAACGGGGGAGAGCCAGAGAGAGGGGGAGGGAGAGAGAGAGAGAATATCTTTTTTTTTTTTTTTTAAATATTTTTTATTTATTTCTAGGGGAGAGAGAGAAAGACAGCATGAGCCGGGGAGGGTCAGAGAGAAGGGGAGACACAGACTGAAACAGGCTCCAGGCTCTGAGCTGGCAGTCAGCACAGAGCCCGACGCGGGGCTCGAACCCACGAACCGCGAGATCATGACCTAAGCGAAAGTTGGACGCCTAACCGACTAAGCCACCCAGGCACCCCGAGAGAGAGAATATCTTAAGCAAGCTCCACATCCAGCGCTAAGCCCAATGTGGGGCTCAATCTCACAACAGGGAGATCAGACCTGAGCTGAACTCAAGAGCCAAACACTTAACTCACTGAGCCTCACAGAGACCCGAGACTTTCTTAATAACCACCAGCAACATATGAGGGTTTGCAATCTAACAATGTGCTCTGAGAGTCGCCAGGGGGCTCACTGAGGAAATGAGTAGAGACCTGAAGGAGAGGAGGGAGTGAACTGTGTGAAGATCTGGGGAAGAGGATTCCTGGCAGAGGGCACTGACAGTGCAAAGGTCCTGGGGCAGGGCCTGCCTGGTCTGTTGGAGGAACAGAGGAGGTGTGTGTGACTGGAGTAGAGTGAATGAGGGGGAGAGAGGGAGGAGGGCAGGGAGGGGACGGGGCAGGTGTGCAGGGCCTTGGGGACCCAGAGGAAGAGGACTTAGGAGTCCTAGAGGGCTGTGGGCACAGGAGGGCTGGACCTGACTCGGGGGCTCACATTCACCCTCTGGTGGCCGCTGTGGGGAGGGCGGACTGTGGGGGTGAGGGCTGGAGTCTGGGACCAGGGTGCAGGGGACTGAGTGAGCTGGTGCGGGCCAAGATGGAGCCTGGGCCAGATGGGGGCTCAGGATTGGGAGAAGTGGGTGGCTTCTCAAAGAAATACAAAGGTGGAAATGGGGCGCCTGGGTGGCTTAGTCAGTTAAGCGTCCGACTTTCACTTGGGTCATGATCTCGCAGTTCGTGGGTTCGAGCCCCACGTCGGGCTCTGTGCTGACTGCCAGCTCAGAGCCTGGAGCCTGTTTCAGTCTGACTCCGTCTCTCTCTGACCCTCCCCTGCTCACGCTGTCTCTCTCTCTCCTAGAAATAAATAAAAATATTAAAAAAAAAAAAAACGAGAAAAAAAAAAACAAAGGTGGAACTGACGGGACCCAGGATGGGTGACAGGAAGGAGGTGGGTGGTGAGAGGGGGGCGGGTCAGGAGCAAGCTGGTGGCCTCCACACCCCCCACTGCCGCCCACACTCACTGATATGTTCCGGAACAAAGGGCAGGAAGCTGCTGCTGGTGGCCCGGGGCTGCACGGCCGTGACGTTGAGTATGTAGGGCACCATGGAGAACATCTGGACGTCGGGGATGGTGCAGCGGGTGGCCTCTGGTGTCAGCTGGAGGCAGGGCTGGCTCTCTCCGTGGCCGGCCACGCCCAGTCTGGACACGTAGGGACAGCATGAGGGCCTGAGCCCTTCGTACCGGCCCGTCTGTGCCCTGGACCCCATGTGGACAGCACCTGAGGACCACGGACTGGGATCCTGCTGTTGGCTGGGTGTGACCCTGAGCGAGCCGTTCACCCCAACATCACAGAGCCTGTGATGACCCAGGGTCAGGGGTAACACCCACTGCGAGATGCTAGGGTGCAGATTCCACAGATTTCTGGAATGTTAAAGTTCCAGCGTTAGAATTACAATGTGCCAAGGTCTATGGACTCATGGGTTCAGAAATAATAAGATTCTGATTCTGCTGAGTTCTGAGACCCTGAGATTTCAGACTCTGGAGACATTCCAGAACATTCTAGAGCCTTCCAAAATATTCCACATGCTCCGACCACGCTGTCAGATGCAGTAGTCACCGAGTATGAGTGGCTCTCCACCATTTGAAATACAGCTGATGCAACCGAGGGTGTCTTTTTAATTTATGTTATCTACCCTCAATGTCAAGTTCCCAGTTGGGTGAATCTATTTTCCCAGCCACAAATTTGATCAACTATAACCAGAGACCAAGAATTTCCCACCAATGTTTAGCACGTGAGTTGAAAAGTGCTACATGCGTGGAATGCATGTGGAGCTTCAAAGACTTAGCATACAAAGGGTGCAAAATAGCTCATTTATGTTTAAAATATTGATTACACGTTCAAATAATTATCCTTGAATCCTATTAATATTAGTTTCTATTATGAATTTAAATACGTGACTTGTACAGAGGCATGTTAAGTGACATTCCGTCGTATGAAACGACAAATACTTGGAATATTGAGATGCGACCGAAGTAAAATACTAAAATCAACTTCAGAATTTCTCTTTCCTTTTTAAACGTGGCTTCTCAAAGAGTTTAAACGAGGCACGTGACTCGCAATCTGTGTTTTAGGAAGTGTATTTCCCCTGCTGGTGCTGCCCCAGAGTCCCCAGGGTTTCGGGTCTCGCTCAGCCTCCGGCTGCCCTGGTCGAGGCCCCGCAGGAAGCCGCCCAGGAGGCCCTCCTACCGCTCTGACCTGTACGTGGCCATGAAGGATGTGGGCCTGGTGGGGTGCGGAGAAGCGGGCAGGGTCCAGACGCAGTCCACGGCGATTGGGTACCTAGACGCCCAGCACCGCACCCTGGGCTGGGTGGGGGCTGCTGGGGCCCCGGGGGGAGAGGGAGCCGGGTGAGCTTCCAAAATCACCCTTGGGACGGTCCGACCCCTGCTGTGGGCTTGGCGCCAGCCTCCCAGCCAGGCACCCAGTAGGTGCCTAATAAAGGTTTGGGAAATGAATGAACGAATGCACGAGTGAAAGGCACCTGCACCAGCTCTCACCTCCACTACAACCTGGGAAGGCAGGGAGTATCAATCCATTTTCCAGATGGGGAGACTGAGGTTTGTTTACTTACTTATTTATTTATTTATTTATTTATGTTTTATTTTTGACAGAGCACAAGCAGGGGAAGGGCAGAGAGAGAGGGAGACACAGAATCTGAAACAGGCTCCAGGCTCTGAGCTGTCAGCACAGAGCCCGACGTGGGGCTCGAACCCACAAACCGTGAGATCATGACCTGAGCCGAAGTTGGACACTTAACCGACAGAGCCACCCAGGCGTCCCGGGCTGAGGTTTAAGGAGCCTCAAAGGGGACCTGGGTGGCCCCTCTCGTAACAACGTTGTCTTGAAGCACGTGAAATGGATGCTTATAATTAAAATGTGTCTCGTTCACTCCTTCTCTCTGTCCCTCTCCCTCCATCCCAGCTGTGGCTGCCACTTCCTGGTGTCACTTTGCGGTGGGATGCATCCTGTGTCTCAGTTTCCCCATTTGTGCAATGGGTTGGTAACTCCCTCCCACCACTGGGAATCCAGTAGGTATGTGAGCTCCCCGCCGCCCCCCCCCCCCCGCAGCTCAGAATATTCCGTGGCAGAGAAACTCCAGGCCCCAGGGAACGTCCCTCTGTCCTGGCCTCCCAGGCCCCCGGGGGTCCCACGTACCTTCTCTCCCGCTGCAGGGTGAGCAGCCCACCCAGAGGGCGAGCACCAGAAGCCTTGAGGCCATGACTCCGCAGGCTCTGCCGTCGAGAGGGCCAGGGAGCACCTCAGGAGGCCGGGGGCACCTCCGGGAGGCAGGAGACTGGAGTCCCACCAGCGAGGGAAGCACAACCCCCGGTCGAAGCCCCAACTTCTCCTTCCCCGGGTCTGACTCCCCCACCCGGCGGGGGGCTGGGGCAGTGGCGAGCTGAGCAGAGGCTGGGGTGGTGGTGGTGGCGAAGGAGCCCTCGTCCCTTCACCTATCGTGGCCAGCAGGGCTCTGGAGGCCCCGAGCGCGGGGGCGGGAGAGGAGGCCACGAAAGAGAGAAGTGGAGACCCCGTGGCCTTTCCCACAACAGCCCGGCTGCCAGTCCTTCCTTCCGCCTGCAGCGAGGACAGGGATGGGGAAACCCCAGAAGGGGGACAATGTCACGGGGGTGGGACGCAGGGACACCCAGAGAGAGGAGAGAGAGAGAGGAGAGAGCGAGACACAGGGATGGGAGACTGTGAGCAGGGGCAGGAAGAGAAGAGAGACAGAGACAGACAGAGACCTAGGGAAGGAGATGGGGTGAAGAGAGAGATGGAAACACAGGCCCTGGGGAGGCAGCCCCCACCTGCGGACCTTATCAGAGCCATGGGGACGCCAAGGGACAGGCTGAGCCCCTATAGACACGGTGCCTTCCCTGGACACCCAAGGAAACCCCGGGGACAGGCCACACTCCTGCCTCTCCCGCCTTAGCTGGAAAGAGCCAAGAAGCCCCAGGGGGTTTCTGGGGACTTGCCAAGGGCAGGGATGCAGGGAGAGGGGGAGGGGTGGGGGGAGGGGGTGCTCCCAGCAAAGCTGGGTTCAGGGTGAGGAAAGCGGCCCAGGACGCGCAGTCTTGGATCCCGTCTTCACTTGACATTCGGGCGGTTTGTTCACCATGAACCCCTGGTCGTCCTGACTTAGACACCGCAGGGCTTCCTGGGACTGAGCGGTGGGCGCGGGGGGAGGGGGCGGGAGCGCCTCACCTCCGCATCCCTGCTCCTGGCCACCCCCCTCCCTGCAGCAGGGGCGCCCAGCGATCAGGCCATACACTTTCAGGCTCGGCTCCGAGAGCTTTTATTCCTGGGGTCCGGCTACGGGGCAGACACAGGCGGGACACGGGACAGGGGGCTCCCGGGCTCTCCGGTGGGGGCGGGGCTCAGCCAGGGCTGGGCTCCACGCTGGCCAGTGTGTGCAGGGGGCCAGTGGGGGCAGTGGACACAGCTAGGGACAGTCGGGGAGGCCCAGGCTGGTCTGCGAGCTCGGAAGGTCGGTGTGGGAGCCGGGACGCCCCGTGGGGCCAGGCGGGCAGAGGGTCGGCGCCCGGCTGCTCAGTGGCCCTGAGTCTGGAGCCTCTGCATTTGTAGGATCTGGCTCAGAATCCGCTGCACGTCTTCGTCCATCTGACCCTGGGGGGTGGGGGGGGGACGGGGCAGAGAGAGAGCCCGGGTACTCCCCCGTCTTCGGGGCTCCCTCCCTCCCCACCCCTGGAGGCCACGAAAGCTCCCCCTCTACCTGCCTTCCTCTGCAGGCGGACTCACCTGAATGGCGTAGAGGAGGTGGCTCCTGTACGAGGCCACCACCGCGCTGTGGTCCCTGGCGGCCTGCTGTGGGCATGGGGGAGGGGCTCAGAATGGGGGAGGGGGGTGCCCTCCCCAGGAACAGCCCCACAGCTCCCTTTAGACGCAGAGCCCCTACCTGCACCAGGGTCCCGGCTGCTAAAATACCGAATCATTTTCCTCCCATGCCTGCCCGCCCACCCCTCTCCCGGGATCCCCACCCTGTGCCCTGTGCCCTCACCTCCAGCTGCTCCCGCAGACCCTTAACCTGGCCACGGAGGGCCTCCACCTCGGAGGGGCCGGGGGTCGCCGGCTGGTCCTTCAGCGCCTCCTTGAGACTGAAGACTTCCTTGGACAGCTCTGTAATCTTGGGGGGGGGGAGCCAAGAAGTCACCCTGAGCCGAGGGCCGGGGTGGGGGTGGGGAGTGAGGGCAGCAGGAGGGGGCTGGAGAGGGAACATCACATCCTACAGGCTAGCAAACTCCGGGCCGCAAATGGCTTTCACATTTTTAAATGGTTGGGGGGGGGGGGCGGTGGAGTCAAAAGAAAAATGCTATTTTTTTTTAATGTTTTTATTTATTTCTAGGAGAGAGAGAGACAGTGAGCAGGGGAGGGTCAGAGAGAGAGGGAGTCACAGACTGAAACAGGCTCCAGGCTCTGAGCTGGCAGTCAGCACAGAGCCCGACGCGGGGCTCGAACC